GGCTCCGCTGCTGGCCCCCTCCCAGCCCGGGGGAGCGGGTGCCCACGACCAGGGCCCTCCAGTGTCCCCTGCCCTGACAGGAGCCCCCTGGCTCTGCCCCGCTCCCCCCCCGATCTATCCGCAGCCGTGCTGCCGCCTCTGCTGCCAGCCCCTGCACGAGGAACAGTTAGACTGCAATCAGCTGATAGGAGCAAGCACTCACGTTATTAAACATTCCTGCCCACCACCGGGCTGGGAGACCCTGCAAAGGTCCCCTCTGGAGCAGAGACCCCAGCCAAGCCAGTATGTCCCAGTCCAGCCCAGCACAGGACAGGCTGGTCTCAGCCACGTTGGGTTGAGGACCCCCCTGCCAGCCCCATCAAGCATCCGCCTCCCAGCCCCAGGCTGGCTCGGCATGTCCCCAGGCTCTGAGCAACATCCGAAACCCACAGGTCCCTTCTGCTTGGAAAGGGTGATGCAAGGCACAAGAAAGGCTGCAGAAATACCAGGGAACTTCCCCAAAAGAGAGCGAAGCCAGCAAAGAGGGCTTCTGACTGTCCTGCTGGATTCTTCTAGCTGTGGATGCTCTTTCTCCAGTTCAGAGAGGGGTTGGAAACATGTCCTCGACAACCAAAGGGATGGGGCAAAGCTGGCTCCCAGGTGAGGAAGGCTTTCGCGCTCTTCCACGCGGGAACCACTCTGCCTCCATCCCTCGGGTCCCAGCCCCGGCGTGCAGGGAGGCCGGCGAGCTGGCTGCAGGAGGGGGGAAGCCGTCCGCGTTGACTTTGGCAGTGCATTTGTCTACACTGTCTTAGCAATTTCATGTCCACAGATTAAATAACATATCCCCGGCTCCGAGACAGGAAAGCTGGCTTTGCGGCAAAAGCCCCGGCCCCCCCTCAGCTGGGCTCCGACCACCTCTGCCACCAACCCTGGGCACCTCACTTGGCCTTTGGCATGGCCATCATCACCTTGGCTGGCAGGGAGGGAGAGCTGGGGGGTCCCAGGGACGTTGGGGGACCACGGGGGCATCCCAGGCGGAGTGATTTTGGCTGCGGGGGGTGCTTGTGGCAACGGGACAGCACAAGTGACCCCCTGGGAGGTCTTGAGGCAGAGATCAGCCTCCACGACTCGTAGCACTTACCAGGGTGTCTACCTGCTTCGTGATGCTCTCCCCCGGGGATGGCTGCAGGCAGGCAGGCAGGAGGAAGGGGAGGGTGAGAAAAAGGCAAGCGAGAGAGAAGGAGAGAGAGATTGAGAGAGAGACACGCACACAGAGCGGGGGCCGGGGTCAAAAGTTCCCCCCTGGCTATTTCTGGCCCTTCCTAGGAAATGCACCACGGTCCCGTTTCCTTCCCTGCCCACCAACATGTCCGCTTTTCCTAAAGGTCGGGAATCCCTCGAAAACCAAGCGCGGAGCCGGGGCGATGCTTGGGTACCGAGGGCACTGCCATCCTGCCTCCCAGCAGCCGCCACCTCTGCTTGGACCACTGTCACGGATGGAGAGTGCTCGGCCGAACCCTGCGCCCGCTCCACGGCAGGCACCCGGTGCCCCTCACACCACCGGGATCCCACCCGGATCACAGCCAGGAGGTAAACAACAGGGCGAGCCCGGCACGGCCCCACACCCAGCCTGGCCGCCAGCCGCCGGCAGGCCCAGCTCCCCGAGATAAACCCGGCCCCGCGGGGCTGGCGAAGGACCCCGGTGGAAGCAGAGACGGGGTCTGAGATGCTCAAAAAAGGGGAAAATTTGGTGACACGCCACTGAAGTCCACAGAGAGCCTTGAAACGGGGCTGGGGACAGGAATTAACTTCCCGGGGTGGGGGAGAGTGTCCAGATCCCAAATATAGGGAGCAGGGGACAGCTACCTCTGCATGGGGACAGCTGGTTGTGGTGCCTGGGGGTGGCACAGCAAAGGGACCCAGCTGGGTGGCTTACAGGGGTCCTGGGACCAGGGGGACGGAGGGGACCCCCAAGACCAGGTTGCTCTGGTCCTGGCAGCGGGGCCGGGGCTGCCATTTCCAGGCACGGGACAGGGCAAACCCCTTTCGATTTCCTCCCGAAGCCGCAGTAACGGTCCCAGCTCAAAGCCAACATGTTTTTGCTGGTGATAAGTGCCCAAGAAGGCTAGCAGGGGCGGGGGGATGCAGGCAGAGATTAAACCCGGGGCAGATAACCACCGCGGGGCCCTGGGGCAGGCAGCACGCTCTGCTCCCACCCCATCCCCTCACTCACTTGGGCTCATGCGCTGCCCTCGTGAGCTCGCAGGGGGTCATCCCCTAAACCCACTTTTTGGGTGAGACCCCTGCCCAGCTACGGGGTGCCCAGCCCAGGGCCCCCTGCAGCCGGCACTGCCAGGCTGCCGAGCCCGGAGCTGAAACCTTGCCAGGGCCTCCTCTCCCCGGCGCCTGCCCCAGCAAGCCTTGGCACACGTCCGGAGCAAGAAGGAAGGGCGGCCGCGCCGGCCCTGGCCCCGGGCAATGCCAGCCTCCCTGCTGCCACGTGCCCGCTCTGCCCGCCACCACGGGCACGACTGGGCTGGGGATGGGGCAGGGGGGCTGCTCTGCCGGCAAGATGGTGCCTGGCGGGG